GGGGGGGGTGGGGGGCCCCGGGGGCCGGGGGGCCGGGGGACCGGCGGGGTGGGTGGGTCCGCTGGTCGCGGGGAGGGGCGGGGCGGGGCGGGGCGGGCGCCGCGCCTGCCGTTCGCCTCTCCGGGCTGCAGGTGGGGCTGTGCGGCCGCGCTGCCTCCAGGAAGCCTCACGGGCCTGCGCCGGCTCCCAGGATGCAGTGTGGACCGGCCGGGCGCTGACGGCGGCGGCGCGTCTGCGGGCGGAGCGGCGCGGGCCGGCCAGCGAGGAGCGCGGCGACGCGGGCGGGGAAGGCAGGGCCGGGCCGGGCGGGCGCCGCCTGCGGAGAGGCCGGGGGCCGGCCTGCGTGGAGCCGCGCGGCGGCGGCGGCGGCGGCGGCGACTTCCTCCGGGCCGGGCCGGACAGCGCACGGCCATGGCCGAGGCGGCCGCGGCTCCGGTAAGGGCGGCCCGCGCGCAGCGACGCGCGGACTCGGGGCCCGGGCCCTGCACACGGCGCCGCAGGCCCCGGGGAGGGGCTCCGGGGGCCGGGCCGGGCCTCCGGGCCGGGGCTCCGGCGAGCGGGGCGCGGGGTCCGCCGGGGCCTACGGCGCCCGCCGGCCGGGCCCCCCGATCGCGGCCGAGCCTGAGCAGGGCGGAGCCGCCCGTCCCCGCAGCGGAGGCCGCCGCACGCCGAGTGCCTGCAGCCCTCCGCGGCTTCCTGCCCCCGCCCCATCCGCCGGCCCCCCCATCTCCGCGCCCCCCACCCCGCGTCTCCTTTCTCTCCCCTCCGCTCTGCCTCGGCGCTCCCTACCCCCCAGCTCCCCCCAGCGGCCTGGTGGCACCTGGGAGGCGTCCGAAGCGGCTTGGATTCCGCGCACACCGAGTGCCCGGCTCCATCGAGGTCGGGGCGGAAGACAGCTGCTCCCTCTTGTAGAAGCAGGCGGGCACCAGCCCTGTTAAGCATGATTTTGTCCTCACAACAAACCTGTGGGGTAGGTGCTCGTTCTGTCATATACAAAAGAAAACCCCGAGGCCTGGAGAAGTTAACTTGCCCGGGATCGCACGGCTAGAAAGTGTGTGAGAAGACACAGCGGCTCCGAATTCGGGGCCGCGTTGTGTTTCGGGGGAAGCAGACAGGTTACACTGGTGTTGAGGATGCAAAAGAGAAAGAGGTGAGTGGCTCTTGTGCTGAGGTGGAAAGGGGCTGCGGGAGTGCAGGGGAAGGAGAGCAAGGGGCTCGCACCCCTCCCCGGCCTGTGCTGCTGTGATTTGAGCTGGGCTTTTAGGGAAGGCTAGGATTTCGTCAGGCTGAGTGGACCGGTGGTGGAGCTTTTCAGGTCGGGAGGTCGGCTTGCGCACTGAGAAAAGGGGGGGGGGGGGCTCATGTTCAAGGACTGGAAAGCAGCCCCTGCACCAGAAGACGGTTTGACTGTTTGGGTAGGGAGGCAGTGGGAGAGAAGGCTGCAGGAAGGGGCTGGAAGGGGCTTTAATGCCTGGACTTCATCATCTGGGTGGGAAGTCCTTGAAGGACGTGGACTTCTCTTACCATCCGCTCCCCTCAAGCTTCCCTGTCAGGGGTCTGAGGACAGCCACCCTGTAGCAAGGAGCCGGGCCTGGCCACAATCAGTCACCACCTCCCACTAAATAGTGTGGAGCCCTGATACGGGGCTCCCTGCCCCATTAAAATGGTAAGAAAACCGTGCCTTACTGTTCGTAAAGCAGCTTATGCCGATGCCCTTTGCCTGCCACGCAAAGATCGCAATAATGGCGGTCAGGTGCACGTAGATGCTGAGTAGGATTTCAGGAGCTGCCGAGCCAGGTGATGAAGTGATGCTCCTGGAGCAAACTCGGGGGCTGGGGCCAGACGGCAGGGATTGATCGGAAAGGACACGTGGACAAGGGGAGGGATGATGGCTGTCGAGGAAGGTGGCCCAAGGGGCCAGCCCAGTTCTGTCCCTGTAGCCTGGAGGCAGGACCACCTACCTCTTGAGAGCTGGACTCCCACGCACATGCAGTCTCCCTCCAGTGGCTCTCCGCCTCTCCATCTCCTCCACGACCTTTGAGACCCAGGGGAAGCCCTTCCTTCTTCAGGTCAGAGGTCATCTGGTTGGGCCTCCAAACAACCACAGAAGCATTGAGGACTAGTTTCCAGAATGTTGTGAGGAACCATGCATCCTCAGGCACCGCCAGAAGGAGGCACAAATATCTGGACCTCCTCCCTGACCAACGAGCCCCGCCTTCGGATGTGGGTCGATCAAGTGGTGCAGCCCATCCCCAAAGCAAAATGAGCCCTTCCTCGGGGTCCCCGGCTGTCAGTCAGGTCATTCAAGCTGCCATGCGAACAGGGAAGTCACTGCTTGGGAGAAGCCTTGTGACGATTATTGTACGTATAAAAATCTAACCTTAGGATGCATTTTACCTTCCTCCCCAGTCTGTCAGGTGCGTCTCTAATTCTGGGTCGGCTACAAAAATGTCTGAGACTCATTCTCCCTTTGGGAGGGGGTGGGAACTATGAGAAACAAAATCAGACTCTCAGGGGACCCAGGGGACCTGTGTCGATTTTGTCCCGTCCTGTGTCAAAAAGTCTAACTCTTGGCTGGTAGAGATTTGCAGTGATGGTAGTTGAGGAGCAGTTGGGAAGGGGACAAAATCGGATTGCACTGGAGGGAGCGGAATTAGCTGTTTGATTTTTGTGTTTATTAAAGAGAGACACGAGGGGCACCTGGGCGGCTCGGTCCGTTAAGCGTCCAACTTAGGCTCAAGTCATGATCTCAAGTCACGATCTCACAGTTCGTGGGTTCGAGCCCCGCATCGGGCTCTGTACTGACAGCTCGGAGCCTGGGATCTGCCGTGAACTCTGTTTCCCCCTCTCTCTGTCCCTCCCACACTTGCACTCTCTCTCAAAAATAAACAAACATTAAAAAAATTTTTTCAAAAGAGAGACACAAGCTGCTTTAAAAAAAAAAAAAAAAGCAGTTGAGCAATGCTTATGTTTGTGCCGGTTCAGTGAACCAGCTGTTTTTTTGTTTTTTTGTTTTTTGGTTTTTTTTTTTGCTAGGTCATCATCAGTAGACAGTTCCTGTGCGATTATGGTGGGAAGTGCTGGCTGGGCTCTAGTAAATCTGCAGTTTACTATTTTCCCACCGAAACGCCCCAGCTGTGCTAAGTCACTGTTTATTGAGCAGAATTGCACTGAGCGCTTTCCGCGGGCCGGGCACTGTGCTGTGGGAGATGCGGTACTGCCTGCAGAGAGCTCACGCAGGCTGATGCAGGAGATCACTGGGCAGGGCTGTGAATGCCATGATCAGGGTCTGCGGGACATGCTCCAGAGGCCGGAGGGAAGGCACCAGCCCGGACAGCCATGGTGTCTGAGTTCCCCAGGGGAGTGGATCGCCAGGCTGAGATCCCCCATGTGGTACAGGGTGTCCTTGCTTCCCATAGGTGCTCCGCACCCCCACCCCTGCCCCGCCGGCCCAGCGCTCCCCCCCCCCCACCTGGCAGAGATGGGCTCAAGGGACTCGGCGGGTGGCATGAATGATGGTGGGCTTCTCTTTGTTTCTGAAAGATTTCCCCGTGGACAATGGCGGCCACAATTCAGGCCATGGAGAGGAAGATCGAGTCCCAGGCTGCCCGCCTGCTTTCCCTCGAGGGGCGGACCGGGATGGCCGAGAAGAAGCTGGCCGACTGCGAGAAGACGGCCGTGGAGTTCGGCAACCAGCTGGAGGGCAAGTGGGCCGTGCTGGGGACCCTCCTGCAGGAGTACGGGCTGCTGCAGAGGCGGCTGGAGAACATGGAGAACCTGCTGAGAAACAGAAACTTCTGGATCCTGCGGCTGCCGCCGGGCAGCAAGGGGGAGGCCCCCAAGGTATCCCTCGGGCACCTGGGGGTGGGACCGCCCGACGGGTGTGCCTGTAAGTGTGTGGGTGAGCGCACGTGATGCTTGTGGTTCCAGATGCCCATGACCTTTGGTGACGTGGCCGTGTGTTTCTCTGAGCAGGAGTGGGGCAAGCTGGATGAGTGGCAGAAGGAGCTGTACAAGCACGTGATGAGGGGCAACTACGAGACGCTGGTGTCCCTGGGTAAGGCGCCATACTCAGTTTTCCATTAACTATGATTTGGGGTGTCCCCAAACCTCTCTCCCCGTGCTGGTGGCTTTCGTCAAAGGGTGTGTACCTCACTAGAAGCCTTGACCCTGCCGGGCATTACCTCCTCTTACCGAAGAGGAGCACCGGGTGATGGAGTGGAAAGCTTCCTCCAGCTGGTGAAGTTCACGGGTGGCCGGACAGAGCGGGGTGGTGGCACGGAGCGCGGACGTCTCTGTCCTGCCGACAGAGTGTAAAACTTCAAACCGCCTTCGGGTCCAGGAAGGAATCGATCCACTTTCTTTCAGCCTTCACTTCCTGGGATGTGTGACCTTGATGGTGACACTGCCCCGGTTTAGTGGGTCGTACGGGCAAACCACGCTTCCCCTCTGCTCCCACGGAGCCCGCGCTTCTTCCCTCTGGGGGTGGTTTCTGTGTGACCCCAGACCTGAAGGCAAGAAGGCTCGCTCAGTGCGGATGGGAATGGGCACAGGTGTGATGTTAGATTTCAGTTTGAAGGGAGGCGCCCGGGTGGCTCAGTCAGTTGAGCGTCCGACTTCAACTCAGGTCACGATCTCACGGTCATGGGTTCGAGCCCCTGCGTCAGGCTCTGTGCTGACAGCTCAGCGCCTGGAGCCTGTTTCGGATCCTGTGTCTCCCTCTCTCTCTGCCCCTCCCCGACTCACGCTCTTGTCTCTCTCTCTCTCTCTCTCAAAAAGTGAGTAAACATTAAAAAAAAAATAAATTAAGATTTCTGTTTGAAGAAATGCACTGCTTCCTAATGGGCAAATTCTACCAGAGTTTCTTCACTTGGGTGGTGACGTGTGGGGCCAAATGATTGATGTTTGTGGGGCTAACCTGGCCTTGACCCACTAATGCCAGGAGCACCTCACCCCCAGCCCCCAGTCGTGACAATCAAAAATGTCTCCAGAGGCGCCTGGGTGGCTCAGCTGGTTAAGTGTCCGACTTCGGCTCAGGTCATGGTCTCATAGTTCGTGAGTTCAAGCCCCACATCAGGCTCTGTGCTGACAGCTCAGAGCCTCGAGCCTGCTTCAGATTCTGTCTCCCTGTCTTTCTGCCCCTCCCCCACTCATGCTTTGTCTGTCTCTCTCTCTCTCTCTACTTCAAAAATACACACACACACACACACACACACACACACACACACAGTCTCCAGACTGCCAGATATCCCCTAGGAAACAAAATTGCCCATAGTTAAGAACCAGTACTCTTTGCTCATCTAGAAATTTCGTTTCTTGGCCATTCTTGGATTCCCAGGCTGCCTGTCCCCAGCTCTGAATGGAACCACATGGCAAGAGCTAACCTTTCTGTCTTTCCTCAGACTATGCCATCTCCAAGCCTGAGGTCCTCTCCCAGACCGAACAGGGGAAGGAGCCGTGCAGCTGGCGTCGCACCGCCCCCAAAGTTCCAGATGTTCCTGTGGACCCGAGTCCAGGTGAGGGGCTGAGAGAAGGCCAGGGCGACTGGCCAGTCAGGTGGAACAGCAAAGTAGAGGGCCAGGGAGGGCCTGACCTTCTTTCCCAGAAGAGTCAAGGAGAAACCTCCAACTCAAATGTGTTAAATCTGAGTTTTTTAATAGTTGAATTATAGCCTACGGCCTGTTGAACGAACACTCCAGGAACACTTCCCAGCAGGGAGACAGGCAGGAAACGTAGCTTTTCAGAAAAGAGTTGGAGCCAGTGCACGGAATTAGGGGAAGAGGGAAGAGGAAGGTGGGAGTGTGTTGAAGACAAAATTTAATTCTTGCTCAGTTTTATGAAAAGCCAGCCTTTCCCGCCTCCAAGAGCAAATCCCATCAGCTGGCCGTGTGTTTCAACGTGATTAGAACCACAGATTTAATTAAGGTGAATCTGGACACCCGCTGCCACTGTCTCAGATTTTCCTGGAGCCAGTCCGCACCTTTGAAAGTTAAAGAAAGGATAGGTGGATGCGCGAGAAAAGCCTGATCACTGGCGTGCCGCCCTGGACAGGTCGGGGGACGTGCCAGCCCCTCACCGACCGGGAGAGCCCACTGCGCAGGCTCGAGCCTGCTTTCCCCGCAGAATCTCCTGGCCCGTCCCCCCTGCCCTGGGGTCCCCTGTCGTCCGCACACCTACGTCACTAAAAAGTCTTACCGTGCGTAATCTGTGATGAATGACCTGTGTCTTCCCTGTCTGCTGCTTCAGCCGGAGCAGCCTGGGTGCAGAGGCCACCACCCCGTCAGTGCTCAGGAAAGCAGTCACCAGCTTAGCTCCCCAGACGGACCCCCAGATGGCCCCTGAGACCTTGCTGGGTGCCCAGGGCAGAGCTGGAAGTGGAGCATGATGGGGCCAAGTGCCGTGTGGATGGAGAAGAGGGATCTGACACGAGGCCTGGCTTCCTGGGGGTGGGGGGGAGGGCACTGTGGGTCTGGTTCATTTTCCTTATATGCGGAGGCCTCTCTGGTTCCCGCCCTTCATTCATGAGAGCGAAGAGGGGCCCAGAAATACCGGGGCCGCCGGCAAGATCCCCAGCACGCCCTCTCCTCCCAACACCCACTCCATGCTCTGCCCCAAGCTCGTCAGCAGGAACCCCATGATCCCCTATTCAGACCCCCACTCGCCCCTCACCCCCTCTGGGCTGTGCATCCCCTTGTCAGACCACCTGTCCACTTCAGTTCCTAAATTCTCCTGCCTCGCTTCGAGGGGACTCCATCCCCAGCAGGACCTCAGATCTGCAAGCTCTTCCCCGAGCATCCCCACCCGTTCGTGCTGAGGCGCCCTGGTTCTTCCCCTGCATTCGCTGCAGCCCACCCCTTCCCCCACGGCCCTCTCAGCCCCCACCTGGAAGGCACCAGTGTCCCTGCACCTCCATGTTGCCTCTGTGCTGGTCTCCCCTCCTCCCTGCAGACCCCCACCCTTCAATCTGACACCTCCGGTCTTCCACAGCCCTCATCTCCGCTCCTGCCATCATTGTTAGCAATGGCACTTCCACAGGGTGGCGCTCTGAGCACCCCAGCCTCTCTGTTCCTTAGCACCCACCCTCCACTCCCTCTCCACCTTCCACCCGAGGTCATTCCCCCGATGCACCCCTCCCATCTTCTCGCCCTGAGCCGGGTGCCCTCAGCCCCCCTGTCCTTGCAGATCGCTCTTCCCGGTGCCCTGACCCCAGCATCTGGCCCTTTCACTGCCCAGCTTGTCCCCTGTTCCCTCTTTGCCCAGTGCAGGCTCGGGTCCACTGGCGTCACCACCCCCGCACCCCTCTTAATAACGTGGCCACCTGGAAGGACCCTAATCCTGGTTCAGTCTATCTGCCTGCTGTGCACCTGTTCCCACGCAGCTGACACAGCTGGAGAAAACGCTGAAGCTCTCGCTTCCTCACCCGCAGCCCTGGGGACCCTGGCACTGCTCCGGGTCGCACGGTGCCTCCTTGATCCACTCAGTTGCCCAGAGGCTGGCAAACTGGGGCCCACAGGCCGGATCACTCACTATCTGTTTTTGTGGCCCATGGACTAGAAAGATTTTCACATTGAAAAAAAAAAACAGTTTGATTGAAACAAAAAGAAACAAAACTCACGGCCCTCCCACCCCAGCTGCCTGTCTGCTTGCACGTGGGCCCCGTTCTCTGTTCGCGCGGTGGCCACCCCTCCCGCCAAAGCCCCGCCTCCCTTATCCTTCCCACCGGCATCTGCCCCTGCCATCGAGTGCCCGGTTTGGACTGCTCTTGACCCCACAGCCCTGCCACCCCATTTCTGCCCCCCTCGAGCCACCCCACCATCATCGCCCTCCAGTGCCTGCCTTCTCCCATTCCTCTTCCCACTCGCGGAGCCCTTCCATCAACACGCCTGGCAAAGCCAGCAGGGACCCTCGTGGCGTTCAAGGTCTGGTCTTACCGGACCCATCGATGACACCTGCCACCATCGATCACTCGCTTCCCAGGTTCACTTCTTTGACGGGAAACCCGGTTTCTTCCTGCCTTACTCAACACCTTTCCTGCACTATTTCCTGGTGTTCTTTCGGACCTTTAAGGGCTGCGGGGGCCTCCCACCTCCCTCCACGCCACCGCTGTGCATCCTGGCAGTGGCTCTGAGAGCTCCGTATGCCATCTGCGTGCCTCTTCTCTGGCCCCCCCCTCAGTCTGCACACCCCCTGAGCTCCGGCTCCTCCGTGTCTCCCTGTCCCCTGCCACAGTAGACAGCTGTCCACGCTGCAGGTGCAGGCCAGGCCCCAGGAGTCAGCCCGACGCTTTCTTACAGCCACATCCATCGGGACATCCTAATAGCCAGCGCGCCCTTCAGGCCATGCACACTGCCGTCCCGCCTCACCTCTACCCTGCCACCCAGGCTCACTGTCTCCCATGGGCGCCTCCCAACCAGCATACCCGCCGCTGCCCTAATCCCCCAGAGCAACGCCTGCTGTCTTTTGTTCAGAACCCCTTCCTGGCTTCCCACTGACTCAGAGACTCGGGCTTATTCCTCTGTGTCCCGCTCCCTCTGTTCCAGCCACACTGTCCTCCTTGCTGTTCCCTGTTCCCCCAACACTGCAGGCCGCTCCAGGCTCCGAGCCTCTGCGCTTGCCAGGGACGCCCTCCACATCCTTTCCCGGGCTCCACCCTTTACCTTCTTCAGGGCCCTGCTTATCTAAAATCGGGGCCCTTTCCCCGCCCGGCATCTCCAGTCTCCTCCTGCGTTGGTGTTTTCCGCAGCAGATGGTATCATCTATTATGTATATTTCTAGGTTGTTATATAGAGTTCGTATTTACAGGATCGATACAGCTACAGATACTACATGTGTTTCACAGAGAGAGAGATTGTGGATCTCATGTTTACAGACTTGTGTATGGCCGGTAAATTTCAAGAGGATAAGAACTCGCATGGTTTTTTGTTCATCTGATCATTACAGGCACTAGAACACTGCCTGGCAGAGAGGAGTCCCACCGTTACTTGTTGAGTGTCTGTGGTGCTACAGAATTTAAAATATTTGCGTGTTAAAAATCTGTGTGTTAAATCCCTTGTTAGATTTCCTGGACTCACTCCTCCCCATGGTAACCACTTGTCCTGAAGTTGGTGCTTATCCTTTTCATCACGTTTTATTTTTTTAATTTAATTTAAAGCCAACCTAGTTAACATGTAGGGTAGTAACGATTTCAGGAATAGAATTTAGTGATTCATCACTTACATATAGCACCCAGTGCTCATCCCATAATGTGCCCTCCTTCATGCCCCTCACCCATTCGGCCTATCCCCCCCCCCACCTCCCACCAGCAACCCTGTTGTTCTCCATATTTAAGAGTCTCTTATGGTCTGTCTCCCTCTCTGTTTTTATATTATTTTTGCTTCCCTTATGGTCATCTGTTTTGTATCTTAAATTCCACATAGGAGTGAAGTCATATGATCTCTGTCTTTCTCTGACTGACTTATTCCGCTTACCGTAATACCTTCTAGTTCCATCCGTGTTGCTGCAAATGGCAAGATTTCATTCTTTTTGATCGCCAAGTAATACTCCATTGTATATATATACTGTCTCTTCTTTATCCATTCATCAGCCGATGGACATTTAGGCTCTTTCCATACCTGGGCTGTTGTCGATAGTGCTGCTGTAAACATTGGGGTGCATGTGCCCCTTCGAATCAGCATTTTTGTATCCTTCAGATAAATACCTAGTAGTGCAATTGCTGGGTCGTAGGGTAGTTCTATTTTTAACTTTCTGAGGAGCCTCCACACCGCTTTCCAGAGTGGCTGCACCAGTTTGCATTCCCACCAGTAGTTCCTCTTTCTCTGCATCCTTGCCGGCATCTGTTGTGTCCTGAGTTGTTACCGTTAGCCATGCTGACAGGTGTGAGGTCGTGTCTCATTGTGGGTTTGATTTGTAGTTCCCTGATGATGAGTGATGTTGAGCATTTTTTCATGAGTCTGTTGGCCATCTGGATGTCTCCTTTGGAAAAGTGTCTATTTGTGTCTTTTGCCCATCCACCCCCATTTTAAAACTTTCATTTAAAACCATTATGTGTAGGGGCGCCTGGGTGGCTCAGTTGGTGAAGCGGCCAACTTCGGCTCGGGTCATGATCTTGTGGTTCGTGGGTTCGAGCCCCGCGTCGGGCTCTGTGCTGACAGCTCGGAGCCTGGTGCCTGCTTCAGATTCTGTCTCCCTCTCTCTGCCCCTCCCTGCTCATGCTCTTTGCCTCTGTCTCTAAAAAATAAATAAATGCTAAGAAAAGTTTTTTTAATAAATAAAACTATTATGTATATATGTAGCCATAAACAGTATACAATATGGTTTTGTGGGTTCTGAAAAATTGTATCAATGTCATTAGATTTATCACTCAGTATTCTGTATTTCAGGTTTATCTCTGTTGATGCACATAGATCAAGTTCGTTCATTTTAACAGATGCTTACTATCTCAAAAGCTACTGCGTTACAATTTAGTATCCATTGGTCTATTGATTTGCACTTCCGCTATTTGTGATCTTTCCCTCTC